GGGCTTCCTTTTTCATCAGGACATTTGGCTTCAAGCCTAGCAGACCGACCCGAGAGGTCGGCAGGGCCGGAAGCATCTGCCTCCGTGCATGCGTCACTCCGGGCGGCGCCTAGCTCTCCTCGTCCTCCTGAGGCGCGGCCACCGGGCGCAGAGCTCCGAGCCCCTTCATCACGCTGATCAGCAGGTCCATCTGCTGCTGGCGCTCCTTGCGGTCCTCCACCATCATCCACTGCATCGTTTCGAAGCCCTTCTCGATGTTGCTGAGGTTGCCGCTGCTGCTGCTCGCCGCACCGCCGCTGCCTGCCGCGCTGCTGATCGCCCTCGGCTTCGTGACCGGCAAGGACTTCCTCGCCGTCGGCGGCGGCGGCTTGACCGGCACCCCGTCGCAGAACTCGACGTACCTCGACGGAGCCTTGTACCTCGGTGGAGGCTCGACCTTGATCTCCGCCGGCGGCTCCTCCTTCTCGACCTTCGTCTTGGACTCGCGCTTGGCCACCACCTTGCGCTTGGTCTCCTCGATCTCCTCCTTCGTCTTCCTCACGAAGCTGAGCCGGGCGTCGCAGATCTGGCACTTCGAGTAGTACCCGTACCCGTTTCCGCCGCTCCACCTCGCCTCCATCGGATGGGAGCAGCTCGCTTTCGCTTCCTCCTCCTCGCTCTTCACCTTGGACATGCGAGGGGCTACGATCGCCGACAGACGGGAAATCGCGCACACCCTGAGGTACAGCATCATCTTGATCGACCACCTCCTCCAGGTGCGCGCAGCTGGGCTGAGCAGGAAGGCACCCTCGAAGAACAGCTCCTTCTCCACTGCCGTCATGCTCTCCTCCTCGTAGGTGATTGAGCTCAGCATGCCGTCGATCCAAGGATCTGGAGTCTGGTCCCAGTTCATCTCGAGCTCCGAGTCGGGGTCCTCCTCCGTGTTCTCGGGAATGACCTCCAGGTCCTCGTCGGGCTGGAAGTCGTCGCGCTGGGCCTTCAGCGCCTGGTGCCTCAAGCTCCGTAGCGAGCGGGCGCTCCGGCTCTTGATGATCCTGATCTTCTCGGATGGCATCGCTCTGGTGCTGTCCTAGTGGTACCGCTGGTCGGTCTCGCTGGTTCGGCTGCTTGCTGTCATCGCTTGAGCCGGGATGTGCTACGGAGGATCGACTAGTCCCGAGACCTGAAAACTGTCTGGTCCTGGTACCCGGCTGTTCTGAATCGAGGCCTAGAGAGAGGGGGAAAGAGGGATATCTACCGCACGTGCCCCGCTGCAGCCCTTCCCCTAAGTCCTGATCCGAGCACTCGGTCGGGAACTCGGTGTACCCGATCCAGCGGCCCGTGAAGCTTAGGGTCTCGCTCGGGATGCCGTTGACCCAGATGCTCTCGACGACGTTGCAAGCGGAAAACTCACTGTCGAGCATCTGGTACGTGACACGGCCCGGTCCTGACTGCGAGACTGGAACAGGAGGCGGCTCAGCCTCGGCGAAGCTGAAAGCCTCACGGCGAGGACCCACGTGCACCCGACGAACAGCACCTGGAACCTGAACCCAGCAGTCCTGGAGCGTCATCGGGATCTCGGCCCAGACATCACCACGACCTGCCTTCACGACGAAAGGTGGAAATTTGCTGGCCAGATCCTCACTAATGGCGAATTCGCTCGGCTTGCATCCTATCAATGATACTGCTCGATGCCCCGAAGGAAGCTTGAGCAGATCCAAATCACGTCGATTCCCATCTTCTCCAATCGTCATCACATTACGACGCAGATCTATTACGGACTTCAGAAAATCGAGAAACTTCGCCGGAAGCAGGGGAGGGCAAGGATGCGGGAGGACCAAGAACTCCACCACTCCACAATGCTGAAGCGACACCGGAACTGCTGCAACTCCGACTGGCTTGACTTTTCCTCCGACTCCGTTCGCCGTGGGAACCTTGTCGGTGTCGACAAAATGTATCTCGAAACCCTTTTTCTTGAAAGCAGCCCTCAACTTGTCGATGTCTGGTGTGCCTATCAGAGCCTGTCCAGCAGCGGTGTCTACCAGCGCGTACTCGTCCATGTCCTGCAGCGTCGCCGCCGCGAGCGCCTCCAGATCCACCTGACCCAGGTCGCGCTCCTGCTGGTCCACCTGACCCGCAGTCGCGGCGGCAGCGGAGAGCGAGCCCACCTGGCCCGACTCATCCAAGATCGCTGCCCAGCTCGTCCCGGAGTGAGTCGCGTCGTAGTCCAAATTGAAGTAGAACGAGCTCTGCGCTGGCTTCTTGTCCGGGCCCTTGTTGACCGCTGCCGACCGTGATGACTCGGACTTCAACCTATCTGCCTTACTCCGATATGGTCGTCGACAGTCTTCTCGCCAATGCCCTTTTTCCCCGCAGTTCGAACAGCGGGACCTCTTCTTGAAGTCGTCTCTGGTGACCTTCTTCGTTCCCTTTCCCTTGCTGCGATCGAAGAAATCCCTGTCCACTTTTCTGTTCGTCTTGAGCTGCCTAGACTCTGCCCATGTGCGACGACGCTGAGGGAGCGTCACCTCAGCAAACACCTCCATGATGTGCTCCTCGTCAAGGTCCTGTGAGTCCAGCGAAACGAGAATGGTGGCAAGCTCCTGCTCATCGAACTCCATCTCATAGAGCCCGAAACACTCGCTGTCGTCGCATGCGTCGCACTCGTAATCCCCCGCCTCGTCGAGCACCGGTACCGTGGTCGCGAAGCTCCTGGCCTGAGCAGGCGCCGGCGGCTTCGGGAGCGTCTGCCTCTCAGTGATGTCCAGTTCCAGTAGAGCAGCACGAATAGCCTCCACGGTCCTTTTACCAGCCATCAGGGTCCTCAGGTTGAGTCGAAGCTGGGAGGTTAAGTTAGCTCCTTCCTCGTAGTATCTGGCCTTTACCGTGTCGGGAAGTGTCAGACCCAGCCGCTCTGCGGCCGCAATCTGTTGATCTCTCCTGATCACGTAGTCCGTGAGGGACTCTCCCTTCTTTATCGAGTAGTCAAAGAGTGCCTGATTGTGGGCCTCACGCTCTTTATCCCCTGGACGCTCCCCGTTGAGCAACTTAAGATGGTCAATGACTTTACTGAGGCCGTCGTTCTCGTCGGTCAGGTGCCTGATACTCTTGAATTTCGCCTGAAGCTCGATGGGGAACGTCTCGATCACTCGCCCGGCGCGGGTCTCCGCCTTGAACGCGGTCCGCCCGTCCCAGGACTTACGACTTGCCAAGTACAACTCCAAATTCTCTAACCCATGCCACGTCGGAGGCGCAGAATAGTCTCGATTGACTTCATCCCCAGGTGCCTTTCCCCACAAGCCAGAACCCCACCAGCTCCAGGAGGAAGACCAATGCCAATCAGACCAGCCTGCGCGCCCCCAGTTTCTCCAAGCGTCCTCATCTGAATCAGGGCCGGCTGCAGCCCCGTCTGTCTTCTGAGGAGTGGAGATCCTTTCCCATGGGTCGGTCGCATGGGCGCCCCCTCGCTCGGGAACCTCCTGTTCACGTGCAGCACCCTCAACACCTGGCTCAGCAGCGCCCCCTTGACCCAGTGCCTCGTCCACGCTCCGGCTACCATTGTCAGCAGGCATCGGGGGCAGAGAGGGCCGAAAGGCCTAGAAGGAACACTTTTCTCAACCAAGTGTGTGAGATCGCACGAACATTCAGTCCTCTGGCGCGAGAGCGCCCCAAAGCCAAATTGGCTGCGTAACCACTGTCGGTCACAAAGAGGCGAGGGGAGGAGAGGAAAATGAGAACACCGGCCCGCCCTACCTGGTGGCGCGACAGGGAGAAGTTACGAGGAGGACAGGGGTAGGAGGAGGAGGCAGAGGAGGAGGAGGAGGAGGAGGAGGAGGAGGAGGAGGAGGAGGAGGAGGAGGAGGAGGAGGAGGGAGGAGGAGGAGGAGGGGAGGAGGTGGAGGAGGGGAGGAAGAGGAGGGGGATATGGGGGAGGAGGAGGAGGAGGAGGAGGAGGAGGGGAGGAGGAGGAGGAGGAGGAGGAGGGGTGGAGGAGGAGGGAGGTGGAGGAGGAGAGGAGGAGGAGGAGTGAGGAGGAGGAGGAGAGGAGGAGGAGGAGGCTGGGGCAGAGGGGAGGCGGAGGCGGAGGCGGAGGCCGGAGGCGGAGGCGGAGGAGGAGGAGGAGGAGGGAGGAGGAGGGGATGGACGGCGGAGGAGGAGGAGGAGTGAGGAGGGGAGGAGGAGGGGAGGAGGAGGAGGAGGAGGATGAGGAGGAGGAGGAGGGGGGGAGGGGGAGGAGGAGAAGGAGGAGGTGGAGGAGGTAGGAGGAGGAGGAGGAGGAGGAGGAGGAGGAGGAGGGAGGAGGAGGGGAGGAGGGGACGAGGAGGAGGAGGAGGAAGGAGGAGAAGGAGGAGGAGGAGGAGGAGCGGCGGAGGTGGAGGAAGAGGAGGTGTGCGTGGGGCAACGGACGGGAGGAGGTCTTTGCATGAATGGCGGCGCGCAGGAGGGGGTAGGGAGGGGGGGAAGGCCCTTCTTAGAAGGAAGGCTGCTTTTTAGAAGGAGCCGCCGGCCTTACATCTGCAGAGTAGGCCCGCACCTTTAAGAAGCATAGGGGTGATTCTATAGAAGCCTTCCCCCCTGCCCCCAACCCCCCTCTGCCCGCCGCCAAGATGAAGCGCCCTCCGCGCTCCTCAGCAGGCGTGTGGCGCGGGGCCGCCGAGGGAAGAGGCCGCTTTCGGCTTCGGCCCCGCGTCGGCTCCGGCCCAGACGGGCTGGCAGCCGAGCTGGGCCCGAGGCCGACGGGGGCCCTGGCCCGAGGGGCGGCGACCGCTCCCAGAGAAGCCACCCCCCTCTTCGCCCATCTCCGAGTTTCCTCTCGGAAGGCCGCCCCGCGCCCACACACACCCCCCCACGGCCACTCCGCCCCTCCGCGCCCTCCCGCGTGCCCCGGGACGCGCGGGGGCGCCCCGCGCCTTGCGCCCCTCCCTGCCGACGCCCCTAACCCCTCACCCCCCCCGCTGCGCGCCGCGAGCCCGCCCGCCTGAGAGCCTCTCCCCGCCCCCCCCCTCCGGCTCGCCCGCGCCATGGCGGCTGCCGCGGTGCCGGGGCCGCCCGCGCCCGCCCTGCCCGGAGGCGTGGCGCCCCTGCCGGCGGCCGCGGATGCTGCGGTGGAGGCGCCGGCGGCCGGCGGCGCTGCGCCCATGGAGGGCGTCTCCGGGCACGGCGTGGACGGCTCGCAGGGTCCGCGCGAGTTTTCGGCCCTGAAGGTGAGCTTCTACGAGCTGCTCATCAGGCAGCTGCAGGACGACGGCTTCGTCGGGGAGGCCCAGAGCCTCTCCGAACGCCTGCGCCTGCAGCCCAACGAGCAGGTGGAGAAGGACGCGCTGCTGGAAGGCTACGGCAAGAGTCTGAAGTGGGCGTTCGGCGACGAGCCGCGTGGCGAATGGAAACCTGTTTTCTGCTCTCCAGTCCCGCCGCTGGGACCCCAAGAGTCTCACCTGGACCTCGACGCGGCGGCGGCGGCGAAAAGCGCCAGCCCTGGTGCAGGCACGGAGGGCACCAGCGGCGCCTCCGCACAGACCAGCAGGGCGACGGCTGCGGCCACGGGGATGCAGGAGCAGCAGGTGCCAGGCTCGGGCGTGCAGAAGCCTCCCGAGATCAGGCTGCTGTACACCTGCCAGCACAAGCAGGCGTGCCGTTCAGTGGCCATCTCCAGCGACGGCCGCTTCTGCGCTACGGGCTGCCTCGACGGTAGCATCAAGATATTGGACTCAGCTCGCATGAAGGCATGCTCTGCCGCCACGGACGGGCCTCTTGGCCGGATGCGCATCACCGAGGAAGAGCTGATGAAGCCTGTCACGCGTACTCTACAGGACCATTTGGGGAGCATCACGTGCCTGGCCTTCCACCCCATAAACCCGACCCTCTTTTCGGGTTCGAAGGATAGGGCTGTCAAGATCTTTGACCTCACCCGTCCCCCAGGTCACAAGAAGGCCTTCTCCGTCCTACAAGATGTGCACCCCGTGCGCTGCCTGTCCATCCATCCCTGCGGGGACTTCTTGTTTGTAGGGACGAACCATCAGGCGGTACGCTTGTACGACTTGCAAACGCTCAGCTGCTTCACTAGCTTCTACCAGGAACACCACCACGGTGGAGCTATCAACGACCTGCGGTGCACCAGCGACGGCAGGGTCTTTGCAAGCGCCTCGAGCGACGGCTCTATTCACCTGTGGGATGCGGTCACGCACAGAGTCATCAACCGGCTGCCTAACGCCCATGGTGGTCTCTCTGTGACTTCGCTGAGATGGAGCCGCAACATGAGGTATCTGCTCAGCTCTGGCTCTGACGGCAGGCATAGGCTGTGGGACGTACGCCAGGGACAGGAGGTGTTTTGCATGGGCTTCGGGCCTCGCGCGTGCGAGTTCAGCACGGCCGTTTTTGCGGCTGGCGAGCGGTACGTGGCCAGTGCCAGCAGCAACACGCGGGCTGGGGATGTGAGCCTCTTCGACGCGCAGACGGGATCTCCAGTCTTCATGAAGCTGGGCATCCACCTGCTCCCCGTGCAGGCGCTTGAGGCCTCACCAGTGGACAAGACGCTTATGACAGGATGCGATGACGACAAAGCGCGCTTCTTTTCCATCGAGGACCGCAACATCGCCTGACCCTGGTCGCCGCGTCTGCTCGACTACCGCTGGATGGCGGCGGCCATCGACAGATGTTCCAGCGGCCAGATCTTCTCAGCAATGGGTGGCTGTGGAAGGGACGACGGGGTGTCTTTCTATGAGCCGTGCTAGGACGCTAGCTGAGGTTACACTTGTGCGGTGGCAGCAGGCAACAAAGAAGTTACACCCCCCCGCCGCATATTTGTAGCCTCTGGCATCAGCATACTGCTTCATGGGCTTTGACCGCGTTCGTGCTACCATGATTAATGGCGTTCGTATGTTCATCATACTGTCTTTCGATGCTTTTCAATGTTGTCGCCATTACGCTCATGACTTGTTACCAGTAGTAGTCGAATGGACCTCGGCCCATCCCGCCACCATGTCTGGATTTTGGGTCTGAGGCCTTTTGGATCTTCGTTGGGATCTCGCCGAGGCCTCTTGGGGCTTCCAGGAGGCAGTTTTGATGCCGCTGTTTTGAGGCCTCTTTGGGGCCGCTTGGGGGCCCCTTGGGGCCTCGTGGGGACCTCTTCGGCTCTTCGGGGCCTTTTGGGGCCTCTTGGGGTCTCCTTGGGTCGCCTGGGCGCCTCTTGGGGCGGAAGGGTCGAATTTTCGGTTCGTGCCCCCTCTCTTGTGCCCCTCTTGGGGCTGTCTGGGGCCCTCCTGGGCCGTCTTGGGTGCCTCTTGGGCCGTCTTGCGGCCCTCTTGGGGGCCTCTGGGGCTGTCTTGGGCGGTCTTGGGGGCCTCTCGGAAGCTTGGGCAGTGGAGAACCCCACAAACATCGGAGTGAGGTGCCGAACGGTCATTCACGGTCCTTGGACGCGTTGCTGAAGTGAGGTTCTGCGGTGCGCATTGCTGTTGCTGTTGCTGTTGCTGTCGCTGTACGTGTCGCTGTCGTTGTCGTTGTCGTTGTTATTGTCGTTGTTATTGTCGTTGATGTTGTTGATGTTGTTGATGTTGTTGTTGTTGAACATTATTACTTCTAAAGAATAATTATTGTTGGGACCCCTGGTGCACGACCCCCCCGCCGCGCCTAGGCCGCAGCCGTTGATGTTGTTGATGTTGTTGATGTTGTTGTTGTTGAACATTATTACTTCTAAAGAATAATTATTGTTGGGACCCCTGGTGCACGACCCCCCCGCCGCGCCTAGGCCGCAGCCACGTTTTCATCATTTTCGTGAGGAAGTCTCAGGCAAAACGGGTTGGTCGGATCCGGTTGTGTTGTTACGATCGGTTTTTCCC